AAGAAATGGAAACATGCATGCATAATGGAATTGTGTCCTAATAATTACTATTGGACTAATTAAAAGAAAATGTGGCTAAAGAAACATGGCTAATAGGTTTGTATCAGTTACTCCCGCCCTAAAAAATGGACTTGTCCTCAAGGCGGAGATCGTATTATGTGTTGAAGGTCCATGGTGGCTCGGTTTCGGATTGAAGAAGGAGGAATTTTGGTGGGTTGCATTGGTGACCTAGTTGATATTTTGTTGGGCAATTGTAGCAAAGACCTTCGGTCCATCGTTTCTGCATCTCAGTGGGGCTTAATCGTTTGATTGGAAGTGTTGGGGAAGGTGGTGGATGAGTGGGCAATAATGGCGGTTTCGTTGGGGGGGGGGGGGGGGGGGGGGGGGGGGGGGGGGGGGGGGCTTGAGGGAATCATCGGAAGACGGAAGTTGAGCACGGATTTTATCTTCGATTAGCTTCGCAAGGCCATAAGTTTGGTGGAGAGTTTGGGGACCGTGAAGGGCAAGTTCGGCCATGAATATCGGGGCGAAGCCCGGAGATGAAACAATCACGTAATGTGTGGGGAGGTAAACCAACAACACAATTACTAATCTTCTCGAATTCCGATTGGCAGGCGGCAACCATGGAGACTTGGTGGAGCTTAAAAAGTTTAGCTTGGTGGTTCTCGTAAGTAGAAGGGCCGAAGCGGGTTTCAAGTGCATGGGTAAATTCAGCCCATGTGCCAAGGAGGTTGTTGTTGGACATGTGTTTGTACCAATTGAGGGCATCACTAGTGAAGTAAAACACGGAAAGGGCAAGTCGTTGGTTTAGTGGGATAGCATAATAGGTAAAGTAATTTTCCGCTTGGAACACCCAGTCAAGCGGGTTTGATCCGTCAAAGTTGGGGAGGTATATTTTTGGTGGGCGTGGGTGAGCATTAGGTGGTGGTGGTGGCGGTGGCGGCGGTGCCTGGTTGTTGTTGTTGGCGGTAAGGAGTTTGAGAATGTTATTCATGGTGTCGGATTGTGCAACAAGATGAGTGGTGATGGTGTCTAGGCTGTTGTTGGTGGCGGTTGCGAGGTGGATTAAAACCTGCAATTTATCGTTGAGGGTGACATTAGGGTTTGTCGGGGGTGATCTTGGGGTTGTCGGAGGTGGAGTCGGACTCGATTTTTGGAGGCACTGAGATGATGATGAAAACACCAATTGATAGAGGTCAATTTGAGATGACCAATCTCCTAAGAAATTAAGATGAAGAAGATTACTTGGGACAATTTTCTGCTTTTTTTTCCTGCTTCAAACGTAACTTACATGGGATATAAATATGTTAGCTACAACTAACTAAGAAATGAGAAACATGCATGCATAATAGAATCATAGCCTCCTAATTAAATGCAATTACTATTTGACTAATTAAAAGAAAACGTGGCTAAAGAAAACATGGCTAATAGGTTCGTATCATACATATCCACTTATTGATCATAAATTGAAGATAGGATTACAAAATGTTGTTTACTAAAATACTTTCTAGAGAACAAGAAGTTGAACGTGGTGTTTGTTAACTACAATATCTTATATGAACTTACAATACTTAAGAATCCTACATTCGTCATTTAAATCAAACAATGGTGCAATTTTGAGAGTTTACACTCCAAATGCAACTTTTTGATATTGTATCATCAGATAAGACGTGTCGGTACACATAGGTGACATTCGATTTAAAATGGAAGTCACACGTGAAGAGAAAATGCCAACTTAACATTGTAGTTGGGCAAGTCATATATATAAGGGATGTATGGATGTATGTATCATCATTTTCAACATTATACTATCATCCAAAACAAAATTTAGGGCAATGGATAGCAGTTGAGATATGTGTCACGCTTACGCCAAAGAATCTATCAAAGTCAAATTTAAGAAGGCCTAGAAGAAGTAATCTTAGAGACATGACTCCGACCATCAACATTTAGTAGTAGTGAATACCTTAAACATATAGACTCTGTCCTCTCTACAAGGAGACACTATCTTGGTCCTCTCTAAAATGAGACAAGGTCTTATGTAGATGGAGTATGTAACTATACAACATACCACTCTGGTGATAAACATTTCTATCAATGAATAATGATGGTCTTAGGCAGAGCAAGGGTGTTAAAGACCCTATATTGGTTGGTTGTACATAAATGGAGACAACCAAGTATGTTCAATAGTTGAAACGCTAGCAAGCCTTTCGATAGAAATATTCTTTGTTGGCTTAAGACCCAACATTGCTTACGTGCAAAACATTGTTTATAACTTAGAGCCTATTTTCACCTTTTCTATGATTTGGCTATTGTGTGGAATATTGGCAATATCATTTGGCTTTATCATGTTATCTCTTTTGTTGATCACTTGTGCAGTCGTGATATTTACATGACAATTGTTTGACTCATGGAACATCGTGTCATGATGTGTTTAGCTACAAGATTTGACGTTTGGTTGGTGTTAGATAAGACCATACCGGTAGGGAGTGCGTGTTTACACTGTGATAGTATGCTCCATTAAAGGGTCAATTTATTTGTTATATGTGATTTGCTTTGATAATAATCCTTAAATGATGACTATTTATGTCTTATTGTTCTAATTCCTCAATAGATGATCATCTTTCATTACCATTTATTGTTATATTCCCCTGAGATGATTGATAATATTTTTCAGTTACAAGCTACAACGTTGTATCCAGAAAGAGCTAACTCAAGTAACATTGATGCAAGAACTTCAAATAAATGCCCGGTTGAGGACTCCTCAATAGGTGTTGATCCAGGTCATACTGCAGAACATTAACTTAGTGATATATGTAACAGGTTGTCTTGTATGGTGTATGGGGCATTAACTAGTTCACCTTAACTGTATGGTGATGTTTATGAATTTTAATAAAATGATATGATACTAAAACAAAGAACGTGAATACACAAAAATGCAAGGTCCAAAAGCAAACATCCACGATGCTTGAAAAAAAAACAAAACAGATTACTAATCATATACAAGAAGATTCCCAAAAAAACAGAAAATGTTGTTAATTCCGGTAACAGTTAATAGAGATATGACAATTATATATGACAAAACTAAAGTTTTGGATATTAGCATACCAAACATAATTGAACCATGGATGACAAGCAACAATGAAGCCATTATCTTCGATGATACATTTAGTTTTGCTCTCTGTGTGTTTCAACAGATATTAGTAAGAAAGAAGCCTTTTGGAAACCTCTTGAGAAAGATCTATACTTGAAGGGACTTCAGATATATGGTAGAAACAGGTATGAGGAACTTGGTAGTTGGTATTTAGCAGTGTTTTCTGATCCGGTTCAAGTTTTGATGCCATTCATATATTCTTAATACACGAGTTATTAAATTGTTGTTTTTCTAACTTTTTATAAACCTTTTGATGACTTACAGTTGTCTCATAACAAGAAACCTACTTCCTGGACTGAAAACTTGCACCCAAGTATACAGCTACATGTGTGATGGAGGCAACAATATGAGAACCGGTGTAGATCATAAGGTTTTTTTTTTCTGCATTCTATTGGGTTTTTTTCTTTCTATCCACTATAACTAGATCATAGGAAGCAAAAGGCCTCCAAAGATGGAATGGAATTAGACCAGCAAAGAAAGAAAAGACATACATTGATGAAATATTGTTTAGTTTTCTTTGTTTCACAACATTAACATTTATGTTGTGTTAGGGTCAAGAAATGGCATCAAGATTGCAATTACTTGGTCGTAAGGGTAAAGCAAAGAAAATAAAGTATTCTTTGAAGTCCTCTGGACATCCACCAAAATGGAGACGAATTGCTTATGAAAAGAACCGATCAAACAAACAGTATACTCCATGTGAATGCAAGTCCATTTGTGGAAAGGAATGTCCTTGCAAAAAAAATTCTACTTGTGAAAAGTATTGCGGGTATGCAACTTTAAGCATGTACTTCTTACATTTATTGAATTTGTCAAGTCTAGTAATCCATCAATCACACACACACACACATACACATTTGCATAACTAAACCAAAGTGTGTATATGCACAAATCATCTTACATGTGTTTCTTTTGCTGAGACATCTTTTAGGTGCTCAAAAAACTGCAAAAACCGGTTTAAGGGATGCCACTGTACAAAGAGTCGGTGCAGAAGCCATCAATGCCCATGTTATGCTGCTGCACGTGAATGCGACCCAGATATTTGCCGAAATTGTTGGGTGAGGTAATAATGTAATATCTAATATGCATGCATGGTTTATCTTTTTGTGAATTAGTAATATTTAAAAAATAGTTGAGTGTAATTAATTATTGATATTGCAGTTGTGGTAGTGGGTCATTAGGTGAGCCCTCGGCCCCTAGAAGAGGACAAGGCCGATGTGGTAACATGAGGATCCTTCTAAGGCAGCAGCAAAGGGTGACAGCTCTATGCTTTTTCTTTTATAAATAATAATATTAATGCCTAAACTTATTCTTATTGTGTTCAGATCCTTTTGGGTAAATCTGATGTTGCTGGTTGGGGTGTATTTCTAAAGGTAAGGATGAATATAAGCATCCATGTTGCCTATATTAATAACAAATTTAATGACTTGTTTGAAATTTTCATATCCCTAGAACTCTGTCTGCAAAGATGAGTATCTTGGAGAGTATACGGGTGAACTGATCTCGCATCAAGAAGCAGATGTCCGAGGGAGTTTATATGATCGTATAAACTCATCCTTCCTTTTCAATTTGAATGCTGAGGCAAGCAGTTCCTTTTCATATGACTTTGTGTGTGTAATATATATATATATATATATATATATATATATATATATATTATTAATTAGCTTTTGAAACTTGTTTATACACATGCAGTATGTGATTGATGCTATGAGAAAAGGAAACAAACTGAAATTTGCCAACCACTCATCAAAGCCTAACTGTTATGCAAAGGTATATATGTTTTGTTTTGGTCTTAATTCTTTTGGTCCAATTAATGAACCTAAGCATTCACATTGACATTGACATTGACATTGACATGCAGATAATAAAGGTGGGAGGCGATCATCGTGTTGGCATATTTGCCAAAGAGCATATTGAAGCTGGAACAGAGCTCTACTATGATTACTGTTATGAGCCTCAGCATTCACCACCATGGGCTCTCAAACCTCCTCGACCAAAGAAGCACCAATCTCATCTATAAAAAGAGTCTTTTTTTTTCTAGTTGTTGGATTGAGAAGTTTTTTGAGGTCATCTTTTGGTTGAACTAGACATGGTTTGAGCAAGTGTAATGTTTCTTGTTAGTCATAAAAGTAGGAATGTGTTGCATAACATTGATTAGAACAACAACTATATACTTGGATTGGAAGAGGAAACTGGCTGGCTATACAAATTGCACCATTTAATTATGTTACAAAAGGTATCTGAATCACTGCACATAACTAGTGTTTCTAACCTTATTAGACTGCAGATGAAGATACAAGAGCTGATTCCAGATATCTGGAACTCCTGGCAGACACCAATGGCTGCAATCTTCCCCTTTCAAACCATTACTGCTCCCCTTTCTTCTTCCATAAATAGATGGGTGACCATCAGTTCTGTAATCTGACAAACGGGTTATGTTCAAGAAATTGACAGGGGTTTTCATCTGCTGTATCACCTCTTCTACAATCACATTCTTTTCAGGATAATTGATGGTTGCAGTTTGGTTGAGGGGCTGAGAAGCTTCCTTACAATGACCACCAGCATTCCAATTGCCTCCCCTGAAATGGGAAGGAGCAGAAGTCCGAAAGAAAACTTGTGTTTTTCTTGGATTGATGTATTTATCAAGCCATGATGCCCAAGTTACCATGGATTTCCTGAAAGCTGTTGACACCTCAAGATGAGGCACAACATTATCTCCTTCCTGATAGTAATTCACCCTGTCACAGTAACACAGTTGTTGTAATTTTACAGCAAGGTCAACAGATGTAGGCAAATGTGATGAAAAGAAAAAGTTACCCTGACTTAGTTTTGTAATGGCTCCACCAATGAGCGGTGTTAAATATGAGAAAGTCAGCTCCTTTCCATCTGGATGAGCTCCTATCAACAGTATCAATTCGCAGGGTCTGCAACCGTTTCCTTCCAACTCTTGCCTTCCCCTCATGAACCAAGAAATGGGACACATAATATTCAACTGTGCACTTGTAATCCTGTCACAAGAAGAGAATTAAATGGGAATATATATATATATATATATATATATATATATATATATATATATATATATATATATATATATATATATATACTCCAGATCACATAACTCTAAAACATCGACAAAAATCTTCATTACCACAAATCTGAAACAGTAGTTTCCTTTCTCTTTGGTGATACGCCTGCCATGTGTCTCATAGACCTTCTTTGGATCTTTAACCACACTCATTAACAAACATAGCATGGACTCCCATTGATTCCTATTGATGGAATCACCCACAAACACTAGCCTTTTTCCTCGGATCAGTTCCAGCATGTTTGTTGCGTTGAACCTATATACAGCATAATTCATTCAAAATCAGAACCCAACGCTCAGGTTTCTTTTAGGGGTATCAATGTTTGCAACTCTATGCATATTTAGATTCAAGGTAATCGGAGAATAACTCTCTATGTGAAAAGTGCTTGCAAGACTAAGCATTAAAAAAAGAAAAATTACCTTGGAATGTAGCAATCTTGAGGCTTCCACCTCCATTTCATATAGTCTTTGTCCAATCTTCCATTGGCCTCACAATTGAAACCTTCATCTATAAAAGGGCAAGTAAAAGTAGAGTACAGAGGATAACTCTCATCATAAACCCATTTCCCCTTTGTAACATCACACACCGTTTCACCCTTTTCTTCCTGAAAATCACTTGTGTGAACTCTTTCACTTATCGACTTCAAAAACAATCCTTCAGAGACCAAATCCTCGGATTTATTTTGAGGAATCGTGTGATTCGTAGCTATCGAAGTATGGACATGAAAATCTGAAAGTTTAGTAGCATTTACAGCATCAATCTTGTGTGGTTCCGGATTTGGCAGTTCACTCTCACTTGATTTTCTCTGAAATTCATGAAAGCTGAAGGAAATGTTGGCACTTTCTGATGTATTCAACGGTTTACCGAAATGGGTTTGATTAAGATTTGCCAGACTTCCCACTAAACGTATTGGAAAGTTGGAAGTGAAGGGTTGGGACTTGGAGTGGACTTGAGAGGGGGGTTGAATCTCACTGAATTGAAAACGGGTTTCTCGATTGATGAGAAAGGGATCACTTTTGAAAACCCAAATAGAGAAAAATGTAAGAAAGATGATGGAGAAGGAGATAGTTAAAGAAAGTACAAAGAATCTTGTGCGTTTGAAGGAGAAACTTCTTTGTTTCTCGATGGCCATTTTGGGAGTGTAAGTGTGAGGATGAGAGGTTCAAGAAAAAGGTGCACATGGAGATGGAGTATGAAGATGACAGAAGAGAACCGACAGTGACAGTGAAGGGAAGCAGAAAATTAAGGCGGAGTGGTTCGTATGTTGCTCATATTATAATAATTTTGAAATGTTTATGCTTATGCTTACGCTTACTGTGGTGGCAAGCACATGCGTCTTCTCCTCGATCACAAAGTCATCCCTTCCTTATCGTTTCTTTTGTTTTCTTTGTTTTTTTTTTTTTTTTGATTTTTGGTAAATACACCCCACCTGGAACTTGTGTAGTTACCATGGGCATCACATGATCACAACCTAAAATAATATGACCTTGAGCCTTTGTATATTATATGGCAATCATCATAATCTACCTCATTCAGAATTCAGAAAGAAAGGCTGGAAAATAATACTAATATTTGTAACCAACCATTATATTCATTTTGTAGGGATTTGGTAAATTCATGATATTTGACATCACCATCACAGATCCTTATTACTCTGCCATAATTGAATTTTAGTCCAGACTATTCTGTTTATATAAACATACAATACAAGAAAATAGTTTATTGTCAAAATTGCAACTTCGCTTATAAAAAGTTACATGACATGTTTAAAATCTGGATCCGATTGTCACTTTGATATTTGGAAATAGGGTACGGAAATTAGCCCATAAAAATTAAAATCCATTTAATTATTTCATCAATAAATCTGGTCCCACACAGGAAATGCCAATCTCCTGACCTTCAATTGAATTATCCATAGTTTTTTCCAATAGTTTTCATTTTTCTTTTTTTTTTAATATTTAATTAAACTATATATCATATCACCAACAAATTTAATAGCTAGGGGTCCCACAAATCTAACTGAAAATCCGTACACAAAAAGTGTATATTCTTAGGTATATGAAATATAACTTATTAAGGTAATTAACTTTTCGGTTTGTTTGTATATGGGTAACTATCTTTTTTTTTTGTATACATCTAGGTTGGAAGTGTTCACATATGACCATTATGACATGTTGTACCAGGTTACATCCTAGATGTGAACACTTTTAATAAGTTCGTTACCTAAATGTGTACAAAAAAAATAGTTACCCAAATATGAACAAAACGAAAAGTAAGAGTAAATTACACGAATGGTCCCTGTGGTTTGGGGGAATTTATGTTTTTGGTCCCTAACTTATTTTTTTAACTCGGATGGTCCCTACTGTTTATTTTTGTTGCGTGTTTGGTCCATGTCTTACCTAAAAAGACTATTGTGTCATTATTAGTTTATTTTTTTTAATTAGTTTTCTTATTTATGTATTTATTTTTTTATATATTTAAAAAAAATTAATAGACACCACATATATGTATCTCCTCACCATCCCATCTCTCACCTCAACTTCTATTTATTTTTCATCTTTAGTGATATCGACATCTTCACCATCCCTTCTTTTTTCGGTCCTTCAACTCCGTTAAATCAACACCACAACCCACTAAAGATGAAGAGACAGTGGGTTATGGTGTTGGCTCGCCAGAGTTGAAGGACCAAAAAAAGAAGGATGGTGAAGACGTCGATGTCACTAAAGATGGAAAAAAGAAATAGAAGTTGAGGACGATGAGAGATGGGATGGTGACTGATGAGACCCAAATTAAATTTCTCAAACGTGGTTTCAGGTTTACGGTGAGGAGATATATATATATGGGGTCTATTAATTTTTTTAAATATATAAATAAGAAAATTAATTAAAAAATAAATTAATAAGGGCACAATAGTCTTTTTTAGGTAAGACAGGGACCAAACGCGCAAAAAAATAAACAGTAGGGACCATCCGAATTAAAAAAAATAAGTTATGGACCAAAAACACAAATTCCCCCAAACCACAGGGACCATTCGTGTAATTTACTCTTACTTTTCGTTTTGTTCATATTTGGGTAACTATTTTTTTTGTACACATCTAGGTAACGAACTTGTTAAAAGTGTTCACATCTAGGATGTAACCTGCTACAGCAGGTCATAATGGTCATATGTGAACACTTCCAACAAGTTTGTTACCTAGATGTGTACAAAAAAAAAGATAATTACCTAGATATGAACAAACCGAAAAGTTAATTACCTTAATAAGTGATATTCCCCTTAGGTATATCAATCGAATATATTCTGTGTAATCAGCAAATAAAAGATAAAACCAAAAATTTTCATTGAAAATTGTCATTTTGGTCTAAAATGTTTTGGACTTAAACCACTTATGGATAACCGTGGGACGGAACCGGTACCGACCAGTACCGTTCCTGATTTTCCGAATACCGAATTTGATCGAAAGTCAATCCCGAGTACCGTACCGAATTAATGTTATCGGTATCGGTACCGGTACCGGGAATGGTACCGATTTTCAGTACTAGTATTGGTACCGATGGTACCGAAACCCGGATTTCGTGATTTTGGAATACCGAGTACCGTCACATATTTTTAAATTCGGTACCCGTTCCGCTACGGTACCGGTACGGGATTGGGATTTGATACAAACCGTTCATCCCTAACACCACTTGTCCAAAACTTTAATTTTGTTGTGAGTATTTTTTCCTCTTTATTTATTTGTTTACTTTCTTTTTATTAACTGAACTATTTTTTAAATTAAAAATAAAAAAAATGCAAACCACCTCTCTCTCTCTCTCTCTCTCTATATATATATATATATATATATATATATATATATATATATACTAGGTTAAAACCCTTGGAACCCACGGGTGTTGATTTTGAATTGAATTTAAAAATTAATTATTTAATAAAATAATATTTCATTAATTTTGATAACTTATGAATTGTAATATTGCATTTTTCAATAAATTTTTTATTTGTAAGTATTTAATTACAAACTAAATGGGAAGTATTTAACTAGAAATGGAGATTTTTGAAAACTCTTATTTTTGGTGCATGATTTTTGTTGGACATATGTAGATGATGCATTACCAATGTGTGTAATGAAATTAACATAAAAAAACGTAATTATAAATAAATAAAGTAATATGATGGATTAAGTGTGATTTGCTAAAAACGTATAAAATATGCTATAAAAAAGTTGACTACAAATTTCGAAAAACTTCCTTATAAACAACATTGGAAGTTTTATTTGTGAGTTTGCCATCTTTATCTAAAATTAATAATTTTAATCCCTCTCTGCTTTGAACTCTAGATAAGGCAACATACAATTGTCCATGTGAAAAAATTGGATCTTTGAGAAACAAACCAACCTTTGATAACGATTGTCCTTGACTTTTATTAATAGTCATTGCAAAACATACCGCCAAAGGAAACTGTCTTCTTTTGAATTTGAAGGGAATCTTTTTTTCTGATGGAGTTAAAGACATTCTTGGAATAAAAGTCTGGTTTCCAATATTAGTTCCAGTTATTATACGTGCCTCAATAACACGTTTGCCCAATGATAACACATGTAGTCTTGTGCCATTACATAAGCCGTTTTTCTGATCAATATTTCTCAGTAACATTACTGGAACACCAATTTTTAAAACTAACTTATGATTTGGTAAACCGGATACTTTGAGACCATTTAATACATCAGGAGAGTATAAATTTGCATCAAACTGATCATGGACAAATTCGGATTCACATATGATGTCTGAACTTAAATATTCAACTTCATCTCCTGGAAACTTCTTAAGCAAACGGTAGTTTATTTTTTGAATAACTTCATTTTTTGGAGCAAGTATCGCTCTTTCTTGGAAATAATTAGTATCGCTATAGTTCTCTAAAATTGAAGGATATACAAACTCAATTAAGGAACCTGTAGGATCATGTGAATCATTAATGAGAATATCATCCGGAATATCGATAATCGTTTCACCGTCGTTCGGACCACCAAGTTTGCCTTCTCCTATATCCAATAGCCAATTTGCAAAATCTCTTATTTTTCCTATATCAGATTGATCCCTTCCAACAGTTAGCCTCATGTTTTTTGTTAATCTATGGACTTTGCAATGTTGCCATAAAATATGAAGAACTCAAAGAAGCATTTACAATGTTCTGTCTACTGCCACCTGGAACAACAGGTAGAATCTGTCTAAAATCTCCTCCAAAGACAATAACTTTCCCTCCAAATGGAATATTTGAGATGGTTGAATTTCCGCACCTTAATAAATCCTTCAAAGTTCGATCTAAAGCTTCAAATGCATGCTTATGGACCATAGGTGCTTCATCCCAAATTATTAAAGAGGTTTTTCTTATTAAGCTAGCCAACTCACCATCTGGATTTATTTTACAAAAAGAATCCTCTGTAAGTTCAAATGGAATTATAAATCGAGAGTGTGCTGTTCTACCACCGGGCAATAATAAGGAAGCAATACCGCTTGAAGCAACATTTAAGACAATATTACCATTAGATCTAATTGCTGCAGATATTGTTTTCCATAAAAAAGTTTTACCCGTTCCACCATAACCGTAAACAAAGAAGACACCTCCTTTATTTTCTTGAATAGCACTCATGATGTTTAGGAAAATGTTACATTGCTCATTTGTTAATGCAAGAAACATACGATCATAGTCATTCTTTATAACGGGAATGTCGTAAATCTAACTCCTCGGTGATAAGTCGATTGTTTGAAGAAGAAACGGATTCAACATCTGGGTATGGCATCTTTTTGAAGTTTTTGAGAGTAGAGTTGTTTCGAAGTAAAATTTGTTCTATTTCGAACAAAGTTAAGTTCTTAAGTTCATCTACTCCGAGTGACAGTTCTGCACGAAAAGATTAAATAATTAATAAAATATTTGGTCGATACTTAATAATTTTATTACTAATTATTTAATGGGTGTTGAATAATAAAAAGAAATTAATTTAAATAAAAAATAAGAAAAAAATGTAATACCTGCAGACTTAAATCTTTGTCGTTGGTTATATAGAATTCCATCTGCCAAATATTCCCATGTATTTTCCCAAACAACCTCTGGTTTAGACATACTATTACACATCAACAATGTAGCAAATAAGAAGCGTAGATAAAAACCAGATCCAGAATGACTTGCTTCTTTAATTGCATCAATGTATTCCTTGTCATCATCTAATAGCCCGAGTGCATAACAAGCATCTTTAAAAGAAGAATGTGTTTCACCATTTACCGTGAGA